CCCATTGGGGATTCTCTAACAACGATGTGCCCTGCCTTAAAATCCATTTTCCTGACTTTGCCAATGCTGAGTAAATCGCCTATCAAGGCTGTTCTTACAGGTTCATTTGGAGAACGACCGGTCAAACCAACTACACCGTCGCAAGCATTAACTGCATTCCTATGACTATGGAGTGTTTACATGTTCGTGTTTCTCCTTTAGAAAGATACCCTCTCTCAATAGGCTACGCTTGGTGGTCTGCTATGTCGATTTCAACTACCCGTGAAATTTGGACCACCTGGATCGAATTCCCTCATCTCCTCGGGCTGCTTCAAAGGCACATGTCGTAATGGTGGGCTCTGAGGCTCAAATGCTAATAACGAGGAGGTAATTCAATGGTAAAGAAAGAAGCAGAATAAGGGACTGAATTCACGACTCATCATCACCCATGAGTATCTAAGCTCTTTGAAGGAGAAGATAGTGGAAACCGCAACAAACACCCCTGCTCAAGTTTCGCGTCAAAAAGTTGTAAGGTAGCGGCGGTAAGGCACAAGGTTGTACAAGTGACTCCGCCCACGTTGATAGATATCTTATCGGTTGTCTTACTCGATTGCGTGCTCTCTCGCCGCTCTTGTCTGGCCTCTCGCCCGAGAACCACATCGATTTTTTGTCTCCCGCTTAGCAAGGGGAAAGCCTGATTTCGAGCGTTCTCGACTGTTTCCTTTGCTTTTACTCCCGAGTAAGTAATCTGGCACTTACCCATCTATTTCTAACCCCTTCTCTTCCCTCTTTCTTACCCCGATACCCACGAACTTCACGCTCACTTAAACCTTCAAGAATGACATAGCACTTCTCACCTCCCGATCATCATTTGGAATGACGTTTAGAAATCAATTATGGGTGCGGTACAGGGTAGGGAGGAGAACTGCCATAGTCGCGATCACCTGACGTCTTTATCAAGTACTTTTGAGTGGCGAAAGTTATACATATACGGAGTATGAGGGCCGAACTACCTTGGAAAACGTCTGCATATCCAGACATGCATTTAAATCGAAGATAGGACCGAAATAGGTCACTTTCATAGTACCCACACCCTACTGTCTCAAAAAAATCATTCATCCGGCAGGGAGCATTATGGGCCGATTTATTGCTAATTTGTGTGAGATTCATGACATGCGAGCTATCTCGCGCTCATTTGATACGTAGATACCTTCTTTGGAAATGGTCACCCCAAGCATGGAGGATGTGCTTCCTCAGCAGCTCGTGTTACTCGCTCGCGACCAGGCCAGGGCTCCGCCCATTGACCACTGCGTGCCTGACTTTTATTTGTGAAGGTTTTCTGATTGTGCGAATGTTCCGCTCCCTTCCGAATGATGAAAGTGAGGTGATATGGAAAAGGAGCTGATACTACCGACTGAGAGTTCGCCTTTAAACAGTGCCTCTAACAAAATACCGCTTGAATGACTCGATCTACAAAATTTAATCTTTTGCATGCCCAGAAAGGGAGTGCTGCAGCTCAACGGAGTGCTCCAAAAGGCAGGCACGAAAATTTGGAGGTCTCGTCAAGCGTTATCAAGCTAAAGTATGGACCTAATCCTATGCGGAATACTGGATGGGAGTTGAGAAAGGAACGATCTTCTAGAAAAGGAATTGCAAAGCGGCCGAAGGCTTGTCACCTCACCATATACGGATACTTAATATCTTCACTATATAATAAACTATTTTCTCTTATTTTCAAAATACTGTCATTAGCCGCTCGCTGCTTGAGTCACATTTCCATTGAAATGAAACTTTTTCCTTACGAAAACGGGCGTAAATTCTGCCATTTGAAGGAGTGGAAATGTCACTGCGAACCAGCAGTACCTCAGGAGACCAAACTCTCCTATCAATTGGAATGGAGCACTTGAAAATAGGGGGAGCAATTAAGCAACTTGCCCATTACGTCCGTTATCAAGCACACTAGCTAGCTCGCAGTGACACAAGCATAAAGATCTACAAATAATACAATATGTTACTACAAAAATGTGTGTATTAAAACTCTTTAATGACATGTGAACAAGGGATCATAACAAATTTATGTAAATAACACAAATCAACAATCAATTTACTTGTTCTCCTCAGCGGCCTCCCTAGCCCTCTTTTCGCGCATACCGGCATATTTCTTATCAGCACGAACTCGTCTGAGGTGGCGGTAAATTTCGGTCTTTCTCTCGGCTTCAGTGATGGCACGAGGAGCTTCGTATTCAATAACGTTGGAAACAGGCATGATATCACCATGGAGCTGAGCGGCCACTTTGAGCTCTTCTGGCTAAAAACAGAACGATGAGGGTGGTCCCATTGAAGAACATGCACAGACAAAATTGGATGTCAGAGAAAACCTTTCACTCACATCGATGTACAAAATGCAAGTGTCATAATAACTCTATCACTTTTGCACGGTTACTACAAAATCCCAAGCAAAAGTGAAGGGAATAAATAGCAACGTGCCAAGGTAAGAATACGTTTATGCTAGGCGTTCTAACGTCAGCGTCCTGAGCGTTTCAAGCATGCGGCTGGAGCGACTAGGAAAATATAGGTATCGATCTAGCGCACGCTAGCGTATGGCCGCGTTTTGAGCCTACGCCAGCGCTTTGGGTAGTTTTGAGCTTCGCGGGCAGTTGCTGAAAAAGTTGGCAAGCTTTCAACATTCTGGATCGATGACTATACTTTCCTGTCGCTCGAAACGCCTTGAAGGTTTCCGTACGCTCAAAACGCTGACTTAAAGCGCGAACGCAGCGTAAAACGAGAGTCATCACGTGTACAAACAGTTCCAGCCTGCAATTTCGCGTCAGCGATAGAATAGCTCGCAATTGTTGAGGGATGGCAGCCCCGATGTAGGTGAGCCACCTACCTCAATCCAACTTTCACAAATGAGTGGCTCTTCCACCACGGGGCGATCCCCTGCTCAAATTTGCAGGAAATTCTGCGCTAGGGCGAAATTGCAGACTGACACCGCCTGTAACCCACCGACGCACTGACCGAAGAAGATTGATGAATAAATGAACATACGTTGCTATCTCCTTTCTTAGGTGCGCTGAGCTTCTTGGGGAATAGGATCAGCTTGGACTTGTACTCCTTCAGACGCTCGACATTGGCCTTAACATAAATGATGTGGAAAAAGTCAGATCGATAAAAATGATGATAAAATGATGAAAAGAAATCAAATGTTGAAACAATCCTATCACATTCAGCAATTCTACTGCATGTGTCAAACTAGTTCAAACGATTTTGCGCGATTTCTAGGATATCCAAAGCAAAGGCTCAGAATAGCTGGTATCACGCGTTGAAGTTAATAGCAATGGAAGTGTAGCCGTACCTTCAGACTCTCCAAAGACTTGTTAGTCCTTCTGTAGTCAACAGCAATGCCAATAGTTCTGGCTTCTCGTTTGCCAATACCGACAGCTCTCAGCTCTTCAAGAGTGAATCCACGACCTAGTCTCACTTTCCTATTGTAACGTTGAGTAGGGCAGCGGACCACAGATCTGAAAGCCTGGTCATCTCAAAGACATCAAGAATTGGGAGTGAAAAACTGGGATCCTAACTGATCGAAAAAAGACTTTCTCCTTTACGTTAGTAAAAGTCTCATCAATTTGGAAGCTTCGGTGAGACCTTTAACACAATTGTCGAGACATTCCTATCACAACCAGTAAAGATCAACTGTTTGTGTCAAACTAGTCCAAATAATTTAGCGTGATTTCTAGGAAATCCTAAGCAATAAGGCTTAGAATAGCTGGTATCACGCAGAGATCTGTTACTAACTTCTAATTTTCAGTTTACAACGTACTAAAATAGCCTTCATTATGACAGGGATACATGGCAAAAAGACCCAAACATGTTATCTGTCGTTTTTCTCAGGTATAAGAGGACATCTGGCGTACATATTCGAAAAATGATATCATAAGAAAACAAAACGGTCAATATATGCCATGCAATGGAAAGAAATTGTACAATTATCAAAACAGAAAAAAATTAGGAACGAACCAAAAACCCACTCACTATCAGTTTAATCATAATTTCTTTAAGCTGCGCACAAAACTTCGTTCCACAGATATTAAGCTATCAGGCCACTGTTTCAACAAGATATCAAACCTTATGGTAACTAGCTGCACGCATCAAATTATTAGGTCATATCATTCAAAAATGTGGAAGGTTTTGCTCTTTATAATGAGGGAAACAGAAGAAAAGAAAGAAACAGACAGAAAAGTTGTTGTCTTAGGTTGAGTAGATCTGCCGTGGTTGACTACCAGCTCCCAGTTTCCGGAAATTTTCGCTCAGCCATTTGATTTTTTTAACAAGTAGATATTTTCAATGCGATGTTGCCGACGCTGATTTCAGCGATCGACAAGTTGCCGTAGAGGCCGCCACTAAAAAAGTCATCAGCAGACCAAATCTAATGAATTTGCACTGCTGAGAATACGATCGACTGGATCAAGATTTCAACAATCTTTCCATGGGCATACTAATATGGTTCGTTGGGGTCTGGCATTGTGGTGGACAATGACAGCCTTCTTCTAGTTGGCACGCTATGACTGTCGAGGAACTGGTGAAATATTCCAGCAATACAGCTTTGTCCTCTAGACAGAACCGCTCAAGTCCACAACCCAGATACCCACCGCCATGACGATTACTCACTTGGATCTGCGTAACTCCTTATCACATAACCCGGGCGATTGCTCGACTGTATTTATTCAAAGCAGACATTCGTTACAAGGTGCCTGTTTTGAGGCTAAATGACAAGACCTATACTTAGTCTTTGGCCAGGGCCCGTTTTCACACTTGGGATGATGCTGCTGCTTGTTGTTGCTATAGGCATCAGTCGGTTCCGAATTTAGAGAAATAAGGTGCTCTAATACACAACCACTTCTCCTTTTTTCGGGTGCAACTATTTCAAGGATTACAGCGAGACATCCGATTTCTTGGCGAAGTCTAGCGATGGTCCAGTCTTTGCGGTTAACGTTCAAAACTTTATTTTATCCACTCACTTTTCGTGTGCAAGGTGAACAGTATGGGACCTTCCTCAACCATACAGTTCTTTTTCGTTCTATCTATTTCGCCTTTCTCATCCGTTCTTCCAGATTTGTTTGAAGGACCCCATCCAACGCAACAACTAGCGCATAAGATGTTACCTATATGTACTAGCTTCCAAATAACAGCATAATACTAATAAAGACCACCAGCCTTAGCCCTCGTTATCCTAATACTCCCGTACATGTCTGAATGAGATGGTGACCCAGCAGGTGAAGAATTGATTGGGAACTCCCAGAAACAACATACCGGTGAATACACGAGCATTTCGAAGTGTGGACCTCAACCCTAACAAGCAACTATTGGAAGTCCTGATGCACGAACTCAGGGAAAAATCCAGCACCAAAAACGGCCTGTTCATCGCACTTCATTAGCTGCGGAATCAAACACTTGTGGACATGTTTAAGGATTCTATGGGGTGCGTGTTCTCAAATCTTAAGGCTACCCACCTCACCAAATATCAAGCCTTCTTCTGCTTTCTGTATTTACACACTACTCATTTCGTTGTTTTAAAGCTGAATTAACATTGTTGTAAAAAGACATCCTTAGTGTTTCCAAATTTTTTGTCATGCAGTTCGTGTTTTGGGCCTTAGTCTACAAGTTTTTTCTTAAAGCAAATGAACTTTTTCGAACGTTTTTTCTTGTTCTCTATACCATTAGAATCGTATAGGCGCTGAAAGTACTTGCTCTCGCACGACAGTTTTTCTCAAAACGTTAAGAATTTGTAGCAACCTATACAACGAAATCCTGAATTTCAAAAGAGAAACATGAATTACACTGCACCTGAGTAGGCCAGCAATTGGACGAGGAGATATGGCAACAGCCTTCTTCTGACGGTTTTCACGTCTTCTCAGCTTACGGCCGGGTTGGTTGAACCAGGTCTTTATGCGCTTCGTCCAGTGCTTACGGAAATGGGCATTGCCCAACATCTGGTTGCCTCGCGGCGCCATGTTACCCTCTAGAAATAGTAATGTTAGATTAGTTGGAAGAAGAATGAATGTGCATAAAACGATCGAAACCAAGAATTCGACACAAAAAGAACGGCAGAATTCGGGCTTTACACTAGTACAGGGAAGTACTTCGGTAGGAAAGCATTTACTATCTCAAGAACGAATAAGATGAGGATTTCTGGCTAACTCTAGGGGAGAGGGGTAACTTCAGTGTAATGAACCAACCACTTGCAAACCCTCAAAGGATTTGCCGCTAAATCTACTACCGGACCACCGGAAAAATTTGCTGCTGATTTGTCGTGAACGCTTTTGGTGTCCTGCACACCACTTTACCGGAACAGCGCCAAATTCGAAAATGAAATGTGAAAAGAGCACGTAACAACAGCGTAGCTGCATCAATAATTCAGGAAAAACACACAAGGAAACTCGATTTGATCAGTTTCGAGAGGTTATTAATTCCATTTGTGAGTGTAACGATTAGCTCTACTTGATTATTTAAGTGTATGAAGAAAACTCTAGATACAAGCAACAAATCAGCTTGAAGCAAAGCATTTACCCACATAGGGGAAAAAAGAGCGGAGTTAACTTCCTATCGGTTTGCGTTCTCGCCTTGTGACACTGGAAAATTATAGAACTCGAAAAATCGGCGACTCACGGAAATGATAGTCAGAAAAACTGCGAAAAAATGCGTATGTATGAATCTACCTTTCCACATTTTTCAACTCAAGTTCTACGATTCTCCGATACTGAAATCCGCAATTCGCAAATTTATCAATTCTTCACTTTCTGAAGGTGTGAACGCTGCCTCACACGGAATTATTGCCCAGAAATACATCGAAGCACACATAAGAAATTGGCAAAAATATTCAAACGATTGTGGAGCACATTAAGTAGTCGAGAACTAGTTTCATCGAGGATTTTAGGAATTGAATTTTACGCAACCATAAGGATATTACAAAGTAAAGCAAACATTATTCACACCGAACGATCAAATCATTAGGAAAGTCATCCACAAAATAAGCAATCGAAACTATCGCATTTCATAGAATTAAAACGAAGAAAAAAACAAAAACAATTAGAAGCGCAACGACGAACCCAACAGGCGAAAACTGATACTCAGTGGACCTTACCGTATGCGGCCACAGCAGCCAAATCGTTCCAATTCGACACCGCGGGACTCGGAGCGCGCTTGGCAGTGGCGTCCTTTAAGCAATGGGATACTTATCTGAACAGGTGTTCATGACACTGATTTCACGGATATTTAGTGGTAGTAAGAAAGAAAGGTACTCAAAAAATAGACAAGCTTTCAGATGGAGGGAACAGTGCACAAATGGCTGCTAACGCCATGAAACGAGATATGAATAAGGTGCACCTGAAATATTAAACGAACAGGAAGTACAGTACCTCTGGTTTTAATAATTTTTGGAGCATAATTACTATGAAGGTCTTTTGAGTGCTCACTGGGAGAAGGTCACCGGGAAGGTCCGGACCAGTATCTTGAAAATATCCCAGATAGGACGTATAGAAGGTATTACAATAACCGGGAAAGGATGTGGGTGATGTTGCTCTGCACAGCGGCCGGTTACGAGTTCCGAACCCACAGAGATTGTAAGTCTTGATTCCTAAGCCAGCAATTTCGTTCTACTCATAAAGATAGCGAGTGATCACATTCATTAGCCCCCTTACACGGCACGGCAAAGAAATACTATGTGAAACGGGAATTTTCTAACAAGGGAGACTTTCCTAGAGAAATAAGTTTTCTGGCCAAAATCTCCGAACATTATGAGATTGTCCCAAAAGTTCGCGACATTTTTTCAAAAATCTCGTATCAAATCTTTCCGCAGCGATTTCGAGCCACTAATGTGGTCTATGGAAAGTATGTCATCTCACAGTTGCTTTACCGTCCCTCGTGTCGCTGTTGTCCGCGCAGTTTGTCGACGGGGGGCATTTTGCACTTTCGCTACTTCCCATCGACGTGTCGGCCTATCTAGACAGCCTCTTCTCGAGTTGACAGGTTTTAACATGATGGCTTGATTACCCTGTTCCAGCTTCACAAGAGTTCACAGGTTTCGCCAGAGTGAGACATGTAAACCGGAAGTAGTGAAGCGCAGTTTAAAGTGCAAATGCCCCTCCCCCGTCGACAAACAGCGCCGCTGTTGTCATATCCAAAACGGTAGTTGAAATTCATCATTTCCGACATACTTCGCTATATGAATCTCCGCCAAGCCACAACCATGGTTGAGCAGCAGAGCGCAGGGGGGGGGGGGGGGGGGGGGGGGGGGGGGGGGGTGGGGGGGGGGGGGGGGGGGGAGGGGTTTTCTGATATAGGTCCTGATGCTACCTTCCACAGTACGGCACTGAAATGGCCCAAACGCTTCCGGTCGAGTGACTCCTATATGAGAGAAAAACTTCGTCCAAGGAGGCCACCTGCCTTGGATTTGGACCTACGGCGTCCCTTGAATAAAACCCCAATTGGTACGAATTATCTCGCTATCTAGTCCTTACAATTTAGGGTTCCAAAGGTACTAATGACAGAGGGCCTCGCTCCCTCAAAAAAGGATTGAAGATAGGTCAAAATGTTTCTCATGAGTTGACCGATACTCCAAGGGGAACACATGTTGGTACTGTCTACAACTCCTCTTCCGCTTCTGCCACACGGACTGGATGAACAACGCTGTAACGGGCCAGATATGGAGGAGGTGTCTCTAGGTGAACCACTCCCACTAGAGGGCAAGTGACTACAGGGGGGGGGGGGGCAAAGAAAAGTCACTTTGTCTTCATTGACGCTTTATAAGTTACACTTTATTAAATTCTGATCGGACATTTTTACCACCATATTAAAGAGCATATCAAATACTATCACGACACTCCGCCACAGCCTTCTGGACGAGCGCCATCGAGAGATTCTGGCACGCGACCGCGATGTGGTGCCTGAGATCAGCGAGATAGTCGATTTCTCCGCCACCGTAGACCACCCTATTGAGCTCGCACGAACGGGTACACATTTGAGGGGATTCAGGTAGGTGACCTACTTATATATTCCATCTTCTCTAGGTACTCTTCCCCTTTCCATTCCTTAGTAGGCGAGAGTTTCTCCAATGCCCTTCGATTCCATGTGGTGGCACCCAATGCTGTAGCAAAGTCCAAGAAGGTACGGGCGACATGACATGTGAGGAGGATATCCTTCATGAGTTGCTCAAGGTAACCGCCAGCGCTCACCTTCAGTCCGGGTTACTCCACGAAGAAAATAAATTGTATTTCATTCCAGGTACGTCCGGTCCATACCATCAACCCGCGCCTTGGCGACTGTGGTGAAGATGATGTCCTAGACCGTGGCGACGTTGTCGGAGCTGCTCGATGTTGGAGGTCTTCCAGATGAGAGTACTGTCTCCAGGTAGCTATCCATGGGTGACTCCATACTAGAAGTTTCGCAAAGCGTGTTTGGAATGTTTTGGAATATTATGATTCCAAAGGTCTTCTCCAGTCATGCTGCGGCTGGAATGACTTCAATTTGGTGCTACATGATGGTGATCGGGCGAGAGCCAGCTTATCGAGGAACATCTTGGGTATCCTTCCACCCTGGTACTCGTATGTCCTCTGTCTGGGCAGCGAAAACTTTGCTGATAGGTGACTCGGTCGAAGTGACTTTTTTTGATCCCCCTGTAGATCCTCTAGAAAGGGCGGAGTCGGTCATTCAGTTCTATCAATCCACTAGGAATTGGTGCCAGTGTTTGCCTACTCCACCACAGCTCAGGGTCACACGTTTTGAAAATGACGCTGCCGAGAACTTGAAGCTTAGCTGGTGAATTCCACCACAGTCTTCGTATAGTCCTGACTTAGCCCTTCCTGACTGCCATCCAAACTAATCCCTCAGCGGCTACCTTCTGGGTGAAAAATACGATTTACAAAGACACCACAAAAATGACCCGGCTGCCTTTCTCGACACAGAACGAAAAAGCCTCTGGAAGCAGGGCAATCACTCCTTGTCTGGTGGTTGGCAACAAGTTGCCGATGAAGGTAATATATGTATTGTTGATCAAGCTTGCTTCTTACTGGAATAAACATGACTCGAAAAAAAGTTCGAAAATGTCACGAACTTTTGGGACGACCTGATATTTTTCTTTGTCTCTTGTGTACACTGCGCCCTGTACTAGTAAAGCGCCTTTGGGATGTGTTCCCACTACTTCTACTGGTTTGGGTTGCAGTTTGTTTGTCTGTCCGGAAATTCGGTTCGACCTGAAGAACGACTTGGAGAGGTCGGGAAGGTGGGGATGGGTAGGGCATGGGACAAGAAATAAAAAGCACACTTGACCTATGGGAAGCCCCGCCCACAGTGGGCGGGGCACTCGCCGAAAGTTTGGGGTTCGTTAGAAAAGTTTGGGAAAAAATGTCATAATCGCTTTCCGGAGGCGCTTAAAGATGGGGAAAAAGGGAATAAGGTTAGTAAGGAGTCGCCAGACTAACTGTGGCAGACACATCCAAAATGGGCGGGGCGTACTCAAGGTGGGCGGTGCTTCTCGCAAAATTCAGTAACCCGGTTCGCGAGAGTGTTTGGAAGTCGCAAAAATTAAAGTTTAAGTAATGCAATATCTGGCGAATAATAGGGCACGCTCTAAAGCTGTGTTGAGACCGACTACAGTGGGAACTTGCCCTAAATCGCAGGGTATTCATTTTAAAAGTTTGTAGCTCGGTTCCAGAACACTCCAGACACCGGAAAAAAAAGTGGACTAAGGTCAGCAGAGGGTCGCCGGTGGGGCAAAGACATTTTGGGCGGAGCCTGCTCCGAGGTGGGCGGAGCATCGGTCGCACACAAAAAGATCTGTAAAACGGTTCCAGAGCACTCCGAAGACCGGAAATATTTGTAAGTGAATTTAAGGTAGGCAAAGGAGTTCGCTGATTAGAAATATAAAAGTTTTATGCTCGGTTCCCACGAAGCACTCCAGACGACGCGAAAAAAGTGGATTAAGGTCAGGCAGAGGGTCGCCAAATGAGTATGGTGG